TTTCACCCCATTTTGGCAACTATTTTTAGTATTATAGCCTTGTTAGTTCACGGAATCAAGATATTTTGCATACTATTCTCGAGATAATTTAATGGAGATTAATTCCATACTTGCTAAAAATTAATTTAGTGCAATAGAAACGGAAAAAAATATCAAAATAGGTCAAAAAATTTTCCTGTCCGTCATGTATGAAACTCCGAAAATACTGTAACTTGTGAAAAAATCAATTATTTGAGTTAAATTTTTTTTTTTTTAATTCTAATCGACAATTGTAGGTCACCGAATGCAAATGGCCAATTAATTCAGTGTCGTTTAATTACAATTGATAAAAAACGAAAACTACAAGACTGTATACCTATATATATCCATGTAAAATAACATGGATGGTGATATATCTTTATCTATAGATATTATGTACATTTATTCCACCAGAGGCGCTTGTGCAGTACCTTCCTAGTACAGCCCGTGTAAAAATGATATGATATCATTATGAGGCTCATAATGAATATCATAATGAATCTCATATTTTGGCACTAATATGAGATTCATATAAGAGCCATATCAATACTTTAGAAACCCGTAATAAGTAAAATACCTGTGGGAACGAATTTTTTTTCAGTAGATCAGTAAAAATTTCATTTTTTCTGTTAATCAGAGGAAATGTATAATAATTGAGAAAAACAGTATTTTTATCATGCACTATATTGTTGAACTACTTAAATTTTTTCCTTGTCTTTCTTAACTTAGAAGAATATTTAGAAAAACACTATCTTGGTTTAAAAAAAATTTTTGACTGAAAAGATTCTTTTGTCTCAAGATAATTATTTTCTTATTTTGAAAACAATTTAAATTCTCCTAAAAATTTCTTTTATTTAATTATTTTGCAATATTTCCTGTATACAGTTATGACTCAATAATTTTATATCACTATTTAAAAAGACTAACAATATCATTATGATATCATTATGATTTTATAAAGATATGATCATCATTTAATTATTAATTCATTTTAATATCATTATGATTTCATAATGAAATTATGTTAATATCATCATGGAGATACTGTCTTAATGAATTTCCAACAGTTACAAAAAAGTTTTTTTCTTGAATTATGAATAGAAGGCAACAATATCATTACAATATTATGATGAATTTAAAAAAATATCAGCCTGATTCCATCATAAGTTTACGCAGTTACTATTATGACTTCAGTATGAAATTATGCGTTTGTCACTATAGATTTGTCACGAATCTCCATGAGACTGATCCGTGTGGATCAAATTTTATATTTAATAATAATTTTAAATTACTGGAAATTTGCTTTCTCCAACAAGAAAAATAAAAATTTTATAATCTAGTTAAAAAAATTCGTTTCCATAAGTATTTTACTTAATACAGGTTTCAAATATATTAATATGGCTTTTATATGAATCTCATATTAGTGCCAAAATATGAGATTCATTATGATATTCATTATGAGCCTCATAATGATATCATATCATTTTTACACGGGAGCTGTTTTTCGGCAACTAATTTTGAACGACTTATGTTCTTTTTTTTTTTTTAATTTTATAATTAAATGAGCATTATGAGTCGTGCACCGTTGGATTTTCCAAACTTTATCTATTTATTTATTAATTTATAATGAAAGTTAATTTAAGAAAAATTTTTTTCATTTACTGTAAAAAATCATTTTAAAATGTTTTATGTATAATAGTTGAAAGTTCAAATTCTTGAATAAATATTGAAGCTACAAAAAAAAACTATAAGAATATTTTCTTGTATAAATTTTATTTTTCATAAAAAAGTTTCTCATCAATATTTATCTACTTCTTTAAAAAAAAAATTTAATTAAAAATCAACAATTAAATAAAATTTTAAGTATCTTATTTTTCCGTCATCGATCGTAACTAAGTTTCATTCATTTAATTTTAACAACCATTTATTCCTAAAGTGGGAAGTTAAAATAAATTATTCCAAAATTAATTGAATGAAATTCAAATGACCAACAATAATTATTTAAATTAATAAAAAAAATTTTCCGACTAACTTGATAAAAATCTTTACTATTAGATATATTCCATATATATGATATGTCCGTATGATAGTATGTAGCAAACGTTAAAAAAAAAAAATTTGTCGACTTGGCGTTATCTCCCATGTGTTACCAGGTGACGACGTGTGTGAATTTCTCGACACATTTATTCGTTGTATATGTCTTTTATTTATTTATTTTTTATTTTGTTGTTCGGATGGACGTTCGCTTTTAATGGAAATTTCTAGATATTTATGTTACGTCAGAAAGTTTACGGAAGCTAGTAATGACAGCCATATGTCCAATGAATTTATTATCTTTATATGTCTTCCAACACATAAATATATATTTATATTTATATAGAAATAGAAATAGAAGATGAGAGAGAAAGAGAAATTTAAACGAGGTAACTGCAATCTGCAATGTAGTATTTATCATCTCGATACGTTTAACGTGACGTGTATAGTAAACTATTTTATATGAATGTTAAAGACAGAGACGGACATGCGCGGATAGTATTTAAACGTATGCTCTAATATGCGATAAAATATAAAATATATATCAAGGACTTGGAAGTTTATAAACTACATTATAAAAAATTTTTTTAAGCTTAATAATAATTCTTAATACCAAAAAAATAATTATTCATAAAGGATTCTTTTAAAATTAAACACTCATGACTCTTGATCCATTATTCACTCGAACACTAAAAATAATTTGTCAGGATTAAAATTTTTTACGGTATCAACTCTTAAAAATTTTTATAACTGGGCGTGAATTATCAAGCGGTAATAGATTATCATGACTTAACCAGCATCCCATTACGACAAGCTCTACTGAAGAGGGTACTTTATTTCTCAACTCTTTAACACTGCATTTGGCGTATATAATTCTAATTATAATAATACTCGTATTAAACTAACTCTACATTATTCATAATCCGATACATATTTCACGAGATTATTATATTATAAATTGTAAATTAATCATAATCATTCGCCCACTTGAAACAGTTTGTTCAAGCAAAATAGTCCCTTGATTATGATAATTAGTTCTCTAAATAATTAATTAACTGATAATAGCCTCTAGTACTCATTAGTATAATAAATTTCCAGATCTAATTCTTTGAACATTCAAAAATTATTGAAAATTTCACTATAATTGTCAATGCTTCTAAATTTATCTTTACATACTTTTTGAAAGATTGAAATCAAAGAATTACAAGAGACCGTTTTTGAAGAACATTTAATTATCTACATAGTTGTCTATTTTTTTTTTCCAATATTTATTTTGAATTTTCGACGGAAAAGTAGTAAATTGAAATTGTCAATTTTTATTATAATTACAAAAAATACTAAAATCCGAACAAAAACAGTTCCACTGGAAAAAAATTTTTTTCCTCTACAAAAAGATATAAAATAAAAAAATTAAAAAATCCAAGTTACTGATATGATTGTATATGATATTCGATAATTAAAAAAAATTTTGTTGTAAATTTAAAAATGAAAAAAAAAAAACAAGTTTGGAATGTACTTGGTGTGCGTCATTGTGTAATTCAAATTTTTTCAGGCCCTAATAGATCGATTTAACGAATTTTACAAGAAAAAAAAAAAATATTCTACAACCACGCACACCAAGTAGGTTCCCAAATTATTTTATTTTTCATTTTTAAATTTACAACAAAATTTTTTTTTAATTTTCGAAAATCATATCGACGGTCTAATTATGCAATTTGTCTAACTCCTTATTTTTTTAGAGGGGTGATTATTATATCTCTATTAGATATTAAATGGTTTTTTAAAGTGATGATAAATTTTGAACTAATTGTTTTTTTCGTACAAAATAGAAGATTCTCTCAAATGGAGTTAGACAATTTGCTAATTAGAACGTCGATATACAATCATATCAGTTACTTGGATTTTTTGATTTTTTAATTTTATATCTTTTTGTAAAGGAAAAAAATTTTGTTCTTATAATAGTCTTATGAACGTGGACTTGGCTATTTTTTACAGTAGAATCGTTTTTGTTCGGATTTAATTATCTACATAGTTGTCTATTCTTTCTTCCAAATAATCCATTTATATTGTTAAGAATAAAATTTCAAAATTTTGATAGATTTAATTCAATAAAAAATTTTAAAATTCAGCTCAACTTGAACTAATTTTCAAATCAATTAATTTATCAAAAAATTACAAGACATCTTTTTTACAGAGCGTTTAATTTTTTACAGAAATATACATGATTTTTTTGAAATCTACTGCTTGTAGCATAAGAAATGAAATTCCAAAATTTCAAAAAAATTTTCCAAACATCAAATTTGAACCAAAAGATTTAATTTCAAAATTTCTAACAATTCCAAGAACATTAAAAATAAAATATCTCAATTTAATTCATGCATCCTAATAGATGCACATCTCTTATTTTTTAAAAATTATCTACTCGCACTACCAAATAAAAACTTCTCTCGATTCCATTTTTCCAAAAAAAAGTGGTGTCTTAATTCTCTAAAAACCGACGGGACATGTCGTTAATAAAGTCCCATCAACACTTCCAAATTATTATCGTTACGCCCTATTTCACACAAGAGGCAGCGACAGAGAAAGAGAAAGAGAGCGAGGATTCTTCGGGCTTTTACTGCGGCGACTTCGGCGTGTCTCTATGACCTCATTAATCTCAACAAATTGTTGACCCAACAATGTAATTCGCGTACGAAGTGAGTGAGGCTTCGAGAGTCTGGGTGGATGTTGGATGCCGGATAAATGGATGAATCCCAGACACGAACCACCTTTTCAGTAAGGACGTCTCTCGGTACTCGAGGGCACAGAGCCCCCTGCCGTATCGACCGTACGTACACACATTGCGCACCCTTTCCCCTTGAGTCGCGAACTACTCTCGAGAATGAAGGGGTAGCTACCCGAGCCTGCGCACGCCCCAGTCCCGCTGCACGTCCGACGCCAGTTTGTCGGGGGTCGAAGCAGCGTTGACATCTGCGTCGGGTGCGTCCGGCTATCAGCCAACCACCACATCCTTTACCTCCTTTATCACACATTTAAATACAAATATATACATTCATCTAGTGCAGTGTCACTTTATTTATCAATTGTTCCTTTATTTTTAATCAAAAGTGCAATTTTTGTTTTGTATCTTACCTCAGTGCAACAAAGGTTTTTTTTGGAATTGTTTATTACAACTCTCAGTGACGATTTGATTTTAATATTCTGTTAACGGTTGACCGCGTTAAGTAGTAAGATAAATGTGCGGTCAAACGTCAACATTCGTCGGCCGTAAAACTCTATTTTTATGCGACAATTATTGGTAGATTTTAGTCTTATTGTTGTCAAAGTTCAGTGATGATAGACGTGAGAAAATTTTTGAAATAAAATTAAAAATTTTTAACAAAACTTAATTGTTTTTTAATTTAAAAAATTAAGAAGTTTTTTATTGACAAAAATTTTAGAAGTTGAAATAAAAATTATATGAATTATTTATTTTATTCTATTAATTAGAAGACTAATTTAATTATTATATAAATAAAATTTTATATACATTAGAGAAGATTGATTTATTAACTTGTCAAAATAAAGATAATAGTAGAATTTAATTAGTAATTGTTATGATTAATTACGAAAAAACGTGACATTAGAAATTTTAGATTTTAAATTGAAATTTCTCTTAAAAAATAGGAGATAGGTAAAAATTATTTCAGATTTTTTTTACAGGAAATTAAATTTGCTATAAAAAATCATTTTACGTATCTACTGTATTTATTCAAGTATCAATCGTAATTAATGTCAGAAAAATTTTTTTATTAAAATTTTTAATTAATTTTAGATTAAAAACCAAAGTTGCTCTTAAAGGGTAAGAGACAAGTAAAAATTGATAAAAATTTTTTTTATAAAAAAATTTTCTTACAATTTTTCCGTATTAAAACTTTATACTAATACAAATAAAAACATTCACTAATCGTTTACATTGAATAAAAAAAAAACAATTAATGAAAAATTTTAAAAATTCACGTCTGTTATCACTGAATTTCAATAAAGAACAATTCACCCCTTCCCACGATCCAATCCAAGAAATACAGTGATTTTATTTTTCTCATTCCTCATTAATTTTCAGGTGAATAAAATAAAAAAAAAAATTAACCAGTGAAGTGACAGTACAAGTGTCGTTTCTGGATAAATTTACAAAAAAAAATGAGAGCTGGTGTGGATACGGAAGCGCCGTGATATAGACAGAGTAGCTTGGGTTACTGTCAACAGCAGACCAGCAAAGATGAAGAGCTCGTGCAAACACCGAAGGGGAGGGTTTATAAACGAATTTATTCGCGGGATCCAAGCTGATCCTCACATTGACATCAGGGAGTGAGAAGAAGATCCGCGATTTCTCACGGGACATGATCTCGTGGGGTCTTTTCAAGGAGCTGGGATGATCTTGGCACATATTGATCTCACACATAGATCATAGATCATGGCTGCAAATAATGATTATAACTTTTTTGATTACCGTTCTCACGATGTAGACTGCCATAAAAATTTCTTACGGGAGACTAACACGCGAGACGTTTATCGCGCCCGGAAATTAACTCGCGAAAAAATCGAGGGTTGGATTTTTAGCGCAGGAAAAATTTGAATGAATTTTATAATAAAAAAGAATGATAGTAAATTTAAGATTGAAGATTCTGATGGAAAAATTCAGCGAGTGAAGGGAAGATCTTCGATAAAACTTTTCTGGATTGCAGTGATACGTTGGATTTACCGTTAGTGCAATGACAGTGCAATGTTAAATGTGTTTTTGGTCTGGTCTTGTTCTGAAAATCTAAAATGATGCTAAGTTGGGTGGCGGTGTGGATAGTAGCGGTCCAGCCGATAATAATAATAGAGGCCGCGTTGAATTCGCGAGTGGTCAGGACTAAATACGGTGAAATATCGGGTGTGATAGTGACCCTTGAGCGAAATCTCGAGGGTGTTGAGGTGTTTCGCGGGGTCCCGTACGCCTCCCCGCCGGTCGGCTCCCTCAGGTTCATGCCTCCGGTTAATGGGGCGCTCTGGCAGGGGGTCAAAGTCGCGGATAAGTTTAGTCCGGTGTGTCCTCAGAAACTTCCGAATGTGACCAGCGAGATGCCCAAGGGACGGGTAGAGTATCTTAAGAGATTACTGCCCTACTTGAGTAATCAGAGCGAGGATTGTTTGTACTTAAATATCTACGCTCCTGTTCAAGGTAGGGATTCCAATTTTTTTATTTTGTTCTAAGGAACAATTGCAGGTTGTTAATAATTTTTTTTTTTTTTGAGAATTTATATGTTGTGATAAGTTGTAACTTTTCATTAAACTCTAATCTAATGCTGGAAGAAAATTTCTCGATTAAAAAAAAATATTCTATGGAAAAATTTCAACTCTCTTTGAGTTGTTAAGTTTTAATTAGTTCAAAAAATTCGCGAATTCAATCTAGAAAATAAAACGAAGAAGAAAAAGCTAGCCGTAGAAGAATTTTAAGAATTGAAAGAACCACTCAACTATTTTTGAACAAAATAACCGATACAGTACTCACGAGTAATAAGACCTGCTAGAATATTATCGGTTTAAATATAGAATTTTTTAAGATTAATTTTTTTAGTCAGGCATCTCGTATAGAAATGACGTCAATGAATTTTTTAAATTAATTATCATACTGACAGAAGGATTTATTTGTATCAAAAAATATTTGTTAATAGTTGACAAATCAATTATTAGATCTGATATTCATTGATTAAATATTAATAAATCTTTTTAAATACTAAGAAATATTTGTTAAGGACTGAAAAGTGGTCTCTAATAAATGATTTGTTAAATATTAGCAAGTATTTTTAACTATAAACAAATCAGTGGCAGAATACATAAAATTATTGTATTTATTCATTAAATTAAATGTCGTGTTTACCCGAACTATTTATACGAAGAATTTCAGTGAATCTTATTATGAGACGCGAGCAGGACAGTTCAAAATTAAAAGAACAAGAACAATAGCTGCTGAAAAAACTATCACTTACCGAGAGTTAGTTTGGTATAATGAATTACCACGTGATATAAGATCAGAAAATAGACTAAATATATTTAAAATTCAATTAAAAAGTTATATAAAAGACAATGTAGGCTATTTTGTTAAATTGAATGAAAAAAAATTGTAAATAGTATGTAAAATTTTATACTGTAAATTGTAAATAGCTATAAGCTAAATAAATATTATTATTATTATTATTATTATAAAAAAAAAATACATTATTATTAAATCTTAAAAATATGTTTCAAAAAAATTTTTTTTATCTTTTTCAAGTTTTTTCAGTATTTTGAATACAAAAAAACTTGTTTTTAAAGTAAGAATATAAAAATTCTTGAAGATAGATAAAATAATTGTCAGTTTTGGAGAAAACTGTCTTTTAAAATCAAATTTAATAGTATCTTATTCTTTATAATATACTTTTGATTCTCAACTTTCAAATTTCTCGAAATTCTTTTTGAAATAATTTTTTTTTTAAACATGTACACAGAAAAAAAATTCTTAACTCGAGGATAAATTTTCTTGGCTTAAGGACATTCCGAGACAAGAAAAAGACACCAATAGGTTATGGGTATTGGTTTCTTTCTCACGCACTAGTGGCGCCTGTCTTTACTGACAGTAAAGTGACTATCGCTCACTTACTTCTACTCACGTAAAATATTGAAAGTCGCTAACTTCAAACATTATTTATAAAAAAATTAATACCACTCGTTTATGTTATTTTTAATAAAAAATACTTGTTACATCTTCAATTACAATACTATTTAAAAAAATTTCTGTGTATATAGAGTACTTATGGGTATAAGTACTCAAAATTTCAAAAAATTTCAAGAACACGGTTTTTTCTGGGAACGGCCTTAATAAAATATTAAGAAAGACGAAAAATTTTTTTAATAAAATCAAAATTAAAAGGCGCGCAGTAGCCTATCGGATCCGGCCCTTGCTACCAAAGCATTGGACCGGGTTCGAATCCGGCGTACACCAATGAATATTTTCAATATTTAAGTGTATTATTCTGCTCAGCCCAAGAAATACAAACGAGTTCCAATCTCAAAAGTGTACCCCCTACCGTAGTCGCTCATGACCTTAGTAGTTTATGCGACTTTAAACAAATTAAAAAAAAAAAATCAAAATTTTTTAAATGAAATAAAGAAAGTTTTTTTCTTTACAATTTTTTTTTCTGTAATTTATTAATAATAAAGCTTACAATATAAAAAATCTCATAAATCCGAAAAAATTAGCGACCTACAAACTTCATCTCACTCCTTATAAAGTAATTAATTTCGCTAAGTCACGAGATTCTTCCTGTAGGAATTATAACTCACCTGATTATAAATCAGCAAAGGAGCCGCTTTGAGCAGATATCCGTCTTAACATCTTTCATTCGACGCTTTTAAGTTTAAAATACACGGAACGGAATCGAAAAAAGAGTAAGTGTAAGTGTAAAAGAGAAAAAAAAAGCAACCGACAGCCTGACAAGAAGGAGCAGGAGCGGTTGCAAAGAAGAGAAACAGAAGCTCGAGAAATCTGCCAACGGCAATAGCAAGAGTCTGCTGAGAAACGTTTAGCATCGATCGCTATCGCGGAACAGGGCCCGGTCGCGGGTGTTGGCGAACTTATCGGCAGTCCAAATCCAAGTAGTAGCAAAAAATTCAGCTTTGCTTCTATTTCCTCTCAATTTAATTCCTCGCAGTTGAATTTCCCCCTTATTCTTATTCTTATTATTATTTTCATCTCCATTCTGGTTCTTACTTTCAGATCACTGGTTTTTTGGTTAATTTTTAGCCGTCTTCACTCACCCCGTTTACTCGGGTACCATTTCAATATAATAACTCAACGAGGCCATTGTTAGCTTGCGTACCAAACAAAGAATCCATGAAAACGGCCATTAATTTACCGATTTGAATAGGAAGTGTTATTTTATAGCCGAGCGTTTGTTCCGATAAATCGTGTCGCACATTTTGCACCCCTGGAATCTACTCTCTAGATATATATATGTAAGTGGGTGTATGTAGGTTATGTGCACAGCGTCGACCTCCAACTGCGTCACATCCACGTGCAATTCCCTGAGAGTAAAAGCAATGAGAAACTCGCCGGGATATCCATTCCTTTAATGTTAATTTGTTACTCTGTTTCATTGTTAACTAACAATGCTTTAGGAACGACGGAATGGAGATTTTAAATTTTTATTCGCGGGTAATAGCGGAAAAGTTTTTGTTCTTTTCAACGAAAATTATAATTTATTTCAACAAGTGTTGGAAATTTTTCTTTGTTCATGTGGAAAAATTCTCTTGCATGATTATAAGGGTGATTTCTTTTGAACGAAGATTTTTATAGTAAAATATTATTTTATGTACTGAAAAAAAAAAAAAAAAAAAAAAAAAAAAAAAAATTATAGAAAATTTAATTTCTTATTAAAAGAAATAGAACATTTTATAAATTTTTGTTAAAAATTAATATTTCTTAAATAATTTAAACAAAAAATAAAACATTCCTTTTTTTTCGCTTATAATTATTCAAATTTTGAGCTCAAGGAAACATATTTGATGCAAAATTGCACATTCATTGTTCCTGTCAAATCATCACAAAAATTTATTCATACAGAATTGTTTATTTGAGTGTAAAAGAAAAAACAAAGTGAAAGACATTTTAGATATGTCAAGTTGATATTGAATTTTTGTTGATTTTCTAGAATAACACAAAGACAATTTTTATCCGTAGAGTTACAAAATGAAATGTAAATCTTATACTGAATATGTTTTGTAACGCTTGTCATCGCGAGTTACAACTCTACACGGAGAGAAATTTATAGGAATCTTTCCAACAATTATGGGAATGGATCCTATAATAAAATTATCATTATAGGCATTAATCTTATACTCATTATGGGAACCATACCCATAATTTAT